AGCCATGGCTGTGGTGGCAGTAGTGGTCGGAGTGGCGGCGGCGGTGTTCGTGCTCGCGGTGGCGGCGGTGTTGGCAGCGGCATGGCGCTAGCCTTCGTGGATGCAGCGGCGGTCGCAGCGGCGGCGGCGGCTGCGGCTGTGGGCCTGCGAGCCCTCGCGCAGCCCCAGGCAGGGGGCGCCCGCGGCAGCGCTGCCCCCAGCAGCGCTGCCCCCAGCAGCGCTGCCCCCAGCCAGCCCGGGCTAGCTCGCGCGCGCGCGCCTTCTATGGAGGCAGGGGTCGCCTCCACAGGGGCCTGGGCCGATCAAATGCAGAACGTCGGCGGAACGATGTATTACTCTCCTGACTCTGTGGCCTAACCGATAAGGCGATAAAACATAATCTGCACTTCACAGGCTCAAATCTCAGAGGCACTTCTTGCAGGCCTCAATTGGGAAAACACACATGCGGACAATTTGTTCCTGACCGTTGAGCTAATCGCCTTGAAAAGCTGCGGGCGTTTTTTTTTCTGCCCGCACTTCGATTGCCCTGAGGTGGCAGGGGGGCGCGGGCATTGTTTTTCCGGCCCGCAGAGCTAATTTCGTTGAAAAACTGCGGGCATTTTTTTCGCGCCCGCAGTTCGATTGCCCTGAGGGGCATGTTTGCTGCACCCCAACTTGCCAACTGTGGGGGGGGGATTGGGGCGTCTGCGCTCCTGCAGCCTCCAGAGAGCCAGGGCCTTGGCGTATTTGGGGCTTTCGAGGAGGCCCTGGGGCGATGGCGCCAGGGCGCTTGGGGCCTCATGGCCCTTCTCTCCTGGGAATATGCCGGGGGCCTGGGCCTTTCTCGGAGTCTGCTGACATCCTTCTAGGTGCCCCCTGGGGGCATTATGGGGGACCTCTCCCGTGTGGCACTGGACAGGACAAGGCAGGCACGCAGGCACCTCCTCCCCTCCCCCTGCCTGCCTGAGGCAATGTAATGAAATGACACACTGCAATGAAGCAGGCGAAATATGCCCCCCTCCCTTGCAAAATATTGCTAATGTAGTGAAATGGGGCATTCTATCTCCTACAATCTGAGCCTCTTGGGTTCAATTCCTGGCGGTGCCTGTGGAGCCTGCTTGGGGGGAGTTGTCATAGCATTGCCATTGCCATTGCAGGGGAAATCACTGTAGATAGGATTCTGTGCAAGTAAGGCCTTTTTAGTATCTGTAGAGCTTTGCATACTCAGGAATTCTGAAATTTAGGCAAATGAGCGCCGTGTGCGGAGACGCGCTGCGCAGAGGCAAAACATCCCCAATTTGGGCCCCCTGGATGAAACCTAAGGGCCCCCTGGGGCCCCCATGCAAGGTAGGCGCCTGGCACAGGGCCCCCCTGTCAGACGCAGATGCGCGCCACCCTCTGGTGTGCCTGAAAGGCCTTGAGGCCCCCCGAGGCCCTGGCGCCGCAAGCGCCAGGTCCCCTCGAAAGCCCGAGAGGGCTGGCAGCCCCAGCCCTCAGCAGCCACCGCCACCACTGCGAAAGCCGCCGCCACCGCTGCCGCCGCAGCCGCCACCCCTGCCGCTGCCTCTGGCATTGCCACCCAAGCCCACCCCCGCCGCTGTTGCTGCGCCGACAGCCACCACCCCCCGCCGCAACCCCGACAGCGCGACCCAACCATCCACAGCCGCCGCCCCCACCACGGCCGCCTCCACCGCTGCCACCACACGGCCACCGCGCACGCCACCACCACCACCACCACAACGACGACGACGACCACCACCATTCTGACCTTCTTGGGTTCACTTCCTAGTGGTGCCTTCGGGGCCTGCTTGGGGGTGCAGGACGGTTTCCAGCGAGCTGCGGATTGCCCGTGCACCTCCCCCACCCTGGGGGCAACTGGAGTTTCGTGGGGGCTGGGCTGGCTCTGGCGGGGCGGGGCCTGCGGAGGCTGGGCGCGGCCCTGAGGCAGCTGCGGGACCACGCCTCTGGAAGCGGAAGCGGAAGCAACGCAAACAAAAGACAGAAAACCATCGAACATCCGGGCTTGTAAGACCACGCCCGGCTTCTTCTTCTTCCTCTTCTTCTTATTCCTCTTAATATTATTCCTCTTCTTCTTCTTCTGCGGAATCTTCCCCTTCCTCTTCTCCCTCTCCTCCCTCTTCTTCCTCTTCTTCCTCTTCTTCCTCTTCTTCCTATTCTTCATCTGATTCCTCTTCCTCTTCCTCTTCCTCTTCCTCTTCCTCTCCATCTTCTTATTCATCGTATTATCCTTCTGTTTTTTCTTATAATTATTCTTATCGTTATTATTATTATTATCCTCCTTCTTCCTTCTTCCTTATTCCTTCTTCCTTCTTCCTTTTCCTCCTCTTTTTCCTCCTCCTTTTCCTCCTCCTTTTCCTCCTCCTTTTGACACACATCCTCCTTTTCTCCTCCTTTTCTCCTCCTCCTCCTCCTCCTCCTCCTCCTTCCTCCTCCTCCTCCTCCTCTGGCCCCTCCCCCTCGGGTGAACTCATCCCCTCGGGCCGGACGCCCACCCCCCTCCCCCTCCTCCTCCTCTACTCCTCCTACCTTTTCCTCCTCCTCCTCCTCCTCCTCCTCCTCCTCCTCCTCCGCCTCCGCCTCCGCCTCCGCCTTCCGCCTCCGCTCCGCCTCGCCTCCGCCTCCGCCTCCTCCTCCTCATCCTCCTCCGCCTCCTCCTCTTTGTCCTCATTTTGTCCCTCCTCACTTCCTCCTCCTCCTCCTCCTCCTCCTCCTCCTCGCTCCTCCTCCGCCTCCGCCTCCGCCTCCGCCTCCGCCTCCGCCTCCGCCTCCGCCTCCGCCTCCTCCTCCTCCTCCTCCTCCTCCTCCTCCTCCTCCTCCTCCTCCTCCTCCTCCTCCTCCTCCTCCACCTTCTGGATGCAGTTTGTTTTTCACACCAGACGTTTTCGTTCAATTTCGGTGTCAATCGTACACGAATCACATAGGAATCGTATACGGATCATGGCCACGTTCGAGCTCAAGTACATGTGTTTAGCTAAGATCATGATCGGCCATCGGTGATCGGACCGATCGCAACCGCTTCTTCAGATTCCCATGGGGCGGCTTAAGGGAGCTCAGTGCACCCAGAAGCGCTCTTACGATCTCTTCCTTAATCGAAACCTTATTGAAACGACTCAAAAACACGCAACCACTTCGGACGATCGCAACTGGTTCGATCGTTCCGAAGTGCCACGATCGTCCGAGGTGGTTGCGATCGATCGTGCTCGCCTCCCCCTCCCCCTCCCCCTCCCTCTCCCCCTCCCCCTCCCACCTCCACCCCCCTCCTCCCCCTCCTCCTCCCCCCTTTTCCTCCTCCTCCCTCCTCCTCCTCCTCCTCCTCCTCCTCCTCCTCTCCTCCTCCTCCTCCCTCCTCCTCCTCCTCCTCCACTCCTCCTCCTCCTCCTCTCTCCGCCTCCTCCTCCTCTCCTCCTCCTCCTCCTCCTCCTTTCCTCCTCCTCCTCCTCCTCCTCCTCCTCCTCCTCCTCCTCCTCTATCTATCTATCTATCTATCTATCTATCTATCTATCTATCTATCTATCTATCTATCTATCTATCTATATATCTATCTATCTATCTATCTATATATCTATCTATCTATCTATCTATCTATCTATCTATCTATCTATCTATCTATCTATATATAGTTATATCGATGTTTATATCTATATATGTATACATAGATGTCTATATATATGTATATATACATATATATATATATATATATATCGATATGTATATATATCGATATATATATATATACATATATGTATGTCTGTATATATATGCATATATATATATATATATGGATCTATATGTGTGTCTATCTATGTATCTATATATGTATCTATATGTACATATATCTATATGTCGACCCATGTATATATCGATCTGTCTATCTATATATATATCTATCTATATATCGAGATATATATCTATCTATCTATATATATCTATCTATATCTATCTATCTATCTATCTATCTATCTATCTATCTATCTACAGTTCAAGGCAGAGCGCTGATGCCTGTACAAGGCGGGATTGAAAGAGCAAGACGAGAGCAAGCAGGAAAAGGGGAAGGCGAAGATCCTCGTGAAAAAAACGCTGGGATGATACCGATAGCCCAGCACGGTCCAGGCCCCACCCCCCCAGCCGCCGCCAGACCCCAGGCAGCGACGGGGGGGACGAGGGAGAGAGAAGGGGGGGACGGGGACAGACCGAAACGAATCCCACCCCAACCCAAACCACCCTTCTCCTCCTCCTCCTCCTCCTCCTCCTCCTCCTCCTCCTCCTCTTCCTCCATCCGTGTAACCTACCCGCAACTAAGGTGTTCAGGACTCGGTCCTCCTCCAGTGCAGTCAGGCAGTTCCCTGATCCCAGTACGAGCGAAGAACAGCAGGGGCAACAACATGTGGAGGAGAACTAGATTTCCCCGGAACACTGAACGATTCGAGATGTCGTTCGCTTGTCTGTTTTGAAAGCGAACAAACTGAGACAGCGCAAGGATCAGTGAAATGCGGGATGTCTGGCGAAACCTATGGAGCAGTTGTACACCCACTGAAGCAACAGGCGATCACTGCGGGTGGTCTGGCGCAGCCGTTGGTTGGGGGATCGACTGCGGGGGATCTAGCGCATACACCCACCGAGATGAAGTAACGAACGAGGTTGATTGCAGGGTGTCTGGCGCAACCTGTGGCGCACTGGCAACGAAACAGTCCACCTACCCCTCTCAAGCAAACTTGTGAAATCCAGCTGTTTCACGATGGCCGCGAACCACACCGACCACGGAGAACCGGTTCTCGAACCGAACTGGCCATCGACCCAAACCGGCCGAACCGAACCGAACCGGCCCGGCCAACCGAACTGGCCGAACTGGACCAGCCCAGCCAACCTAACCGGCCGAACCGGACCAAACGCGACCCTGGCGGCCTGAGTCCAGGTCGCCAGGACCCGACTCCCCGGGGTTGCTACACGCCCGCCACCTCATCGTGATGGTGCAATTCCATCTCCTCCGCGGCATTTTGGCTGCGCCGCGTTCCCACTCGCCCAGTCGTGCTCGCGGTGGGCACGTTCTTCGTCAAGTCCTACCTGTACGGCAAAGATGGCGCCCCGCCTTCACCCCTCCTGCGTGTCCCACGGGCTTCGGTCAAGCTTTCCGTTCGCCGGGGTCCGGCTGGGCCTGCTCGGCATCACGGCGGTGCGCGGTCCCGCACTGCCGTTCCCGGTGGTGCAGTTCCTCGCGTTCGACACCGGCTCCGCGGTCCCAGACCCCCGACGTCATGATTTTTTATGACGCGACCCCAAGAGGTCCCGACCCATTCCCCGGGACCGGTTTTTCGTTCTGAATCGTTTTTTGACGGTCCCGAGGCCCAGTAAGGGCCCCCAAAGGCCGAAAATAGCGAAAAACTTCCCGTCGTGATTTTTTCATGACCCGAGGGGGTCTGGGGTCCTGGCGCTGCTCTCGCGCCCCCGCCCTCGGCCGCCTCTGAGTCCTGCCTGTTTCGGCGCGCTCGTCGCCCTGCCTCTCCTTCGAAGGTGTCGTGGCCTGCCCCTGCTTGCCTGGCGTCCGACCTGATCCGTGCGCCTGGCGTACCCAAAAATATCCCCACCAGCCCATCCAGAAACGATGCCCATGAGAGCTGACGGGGGAAAAGAGGAAGAGACACGCATAGCCAGACAACGAGGCAGGGCGGCCTGGACGGCGTGTTGGGGCCATCTCCAGGCCCGCGTGGGGGGGGGGGGGGGGGGCGAAGAGGAGGAGGAGGAGGAGAGGAGGAGGAGGAGGAGGAGGAGGAGGAGGAGGAGGAGGAGGAGGAGGAGGAGAAGAAGGTGAAGAAGGCAGAGGAGCAAGACGAGGAGATGGAGGACGAGGATGTGGAGGACGAGGACTAAGAGAGTGAGAGGAGGAGGACTAAGAGAGTGAAGAGGAGGAGGAGGAGGAGGAGGAGGAGGGGGAGGAGGAGGAGAGGAGGAGGAGGAGGAGGAGGAGGAGGAGGAGGAGGAGGAGGAGGGGGAGGGGGAGGGGGAGGGGAGGGGAGGAGAGGAGAGGAGACGGAGGAGGAGGAGGAGGAGTAGGAGGAGGAGGAGGAGGAGGAGGAGGAAGAGGACGAGGGGGAGGATGACAACGAGGAGGAGGAGGTTGAGGAGGAGGCGGATATCGCACTGCATTGCCGACGCCGCGCAGGTCACCCAGCGCCAGGCGGGCACAGAAGAAAGGGGGATTCGGGAGCCCGAACCCTCAGGCGCCATCAAGTAACGAGAGAACGAGGAGGAGGAGAAACAGGAGTAAGAGGAGGAGGATAAGGACGATGAGGTCGACGAGGATGAGGACGAGGAGGGGGACGAGGACGAGGACGAGGTGGACGAGGAGATGGACGAGGACGAGACGGCGTCTTGCGTTCCCCTGTCTGAGCACCCTCTTGCAGCCTTCTTGGGGGGCCCCATGGGCCGTCCTGCAGGCGTCTTGGGCTGTCTTCGGGCCCTCTTTGGCTCGTTTCGGGGCCCTCACGGAGGCCTCTTGGGTCGATCGTTGGAGCCTCTTGGGCCGTTGTGCAGCGTCGGGAAGCTGAGAAAGGCGAGAACGCTCAAATCCTAGAAAGACTTACGGAAAGTCCACGATTTTTTCCTCTGGGGGCTCTCTTGGGAGTGCTCTTCTAGGCCTCGTGGGGCGTCTTCCAACCTTCTTGGGCCGTCTGATGGCCGTAAAAACGTCTTGGACCGATCGTTCGGCGATTCGGGGTCCTCTTGGACCGTCTTGGGGGCCTCTTTGGGCACTTGTGGCTCGTCTTGGGATTTTTTGGGGCCCCAGGCCCCCCTCTATTTTGAGTGATGAGGTCGCGCGTGTGTCTTCGAGAAGATGAGAGCCTGAATGCGGGCACCACTACATTCACGATATTGTGGTGCCAGCGATACAAAAAAATGCCTGAAGCATTAACCCACTGCTGCGTCGTGCTTCCATACAAGCAGGTGCAGCTCTGCGGTTGATCGGGAGTTTGTGCACATATTTTGTGCCCCTGTGTCCCGCTCTCCCTCCCTCCCCCTCCCCCCTCCCCTCCCCTCCCCCTGCCCCTCCCCTTTTCCCCCGAACCCCTCCCCCCCCCTCCCCCTACCCCCCCCCCCCTTGCCCCCCCTCAACCCCCGAGCGCTGGAACGGCGCGCGCCCGGTGCGCCCCGCTGCTCTGCGGGCTCGTTTTCTTGCGCGCCGGGGGGTCAGGATGACGTGAGCTCACAAGACAAGCTCCCTCAAATTCTTGACGCTTCCTTTATCCCCACCAGCGCCAACTTTCCCGCGCAGCCCCGCAGCTGCTTGGTGAGTGGGCCGGCCGGCCTGCGGCGCGTTTAGTAGCTAATTAGGCCGTTACCGTGTCCGGGAACGCTTCTGACTCCGCTTGCGCTCTCGCTAGCGGACGCGACCGAAAAAAGTATCCCCACCAGCCCGTCCAGAAAAGATGCCCATGAGAGCTGACGGGGGGAGAGAGGAAGAGACACGCATAGTCAAACAGCAAGGGAAGCCGGCTTGGACGGCGTGTTGGGGCCATATCAGGGCTCGCGTGGGGGGGGGGCGAAGGGGAGGAGGAGAAAGAGGAGGAGGAGGAGGAGGAGGAGGAGGAGGAGGAGGAGGAGGAGGAGGAGGAGGTGGAGGTGGAGGAGCTGATGTGGTGGAGGCTACCTCAGGCCCGTCTACAAGTTGATTGTCTTCCGGCACTTCTGACTGGACGCAACTGCCGCGGTGTGGTCGTCCATGCCGAGGAGGCCGCCCACGACATAGCCTGCACGCTTCAAATTGCGTACGAATATATTCAGGTAAACGATGCCACTCTGGGTGTGGCCATGCACGACCTTCAACTCCACCTTGCCGTATCGCAACCAACCTTGGTACTTTTTCGTATCGACACTGCTGGCGCTGAAGACACGGCCCTTGGCGCCAACCCATCTTCCGGTAAGGTTCATCGACTGGAAATACACGTCCGCGCACGCCGCGCCCATCTGCCGCGCCTCTGCCTCGACGCTCAGAAGGGCGGTCTTGCGCTGGGCGCCCCGCGGAACCCGCACCAGCGTGTGCCATCCCTCCTGGTGGAGGTCGAATCGCTGTCCGAACAGGTTGGTGAGGTGAGGATCACCTTGCACGGTTTCCCACGCGGCCGTAGGCGACCCGAGGAGGAGGAGGAGGAGGAGGAGGAGGAGGAGGAGGAGGAGGAAGAGAGGAGGAGGAGGTGGAGGAGGAGGAGATGGGGGAGGAGTGATGGAGGAGGGGGAGGAGGAGGGGAGGAGGACGGAGGAGGATGGGAGGAGGAGGAGGAGGAGGAGGGAAGGAGATGAGGAGGAGGAGGGAGGAGGGAGTAGGGAGGAGGATGAGGAGGAGGAGGAGGAGGAGGAGAGGAGGGAGGATGGAGAAGAGAGGAGGAGGAGGAGGAGGAGGAGGAGGAGGAGGAGGAGGAGGAGGAGGAGGAGGAGGACGGGTCGCCCAAGCCCTTCGGAGAAACCCTCCAGATCACCTGTCGCTCTCACCGTCGATGGGGGCGCTGTCGCGCTGGTGGTCCGGCTTGCCGTGGGGCTGGCCGTCGGGCCTGCGGTTGGGCTCGCTGTCGGGCTCGCCTTCTTGTTGGGCGCCGTGGGGACATAGGGGTCTCGGGGGCCACTCTGGAGGAAAGGACTCCTGGGGCACCTTCACATTCCCCTTGTTGGGCACTTCTCGGCGCCCCTTGGAGGGGCCCTCTTCTAGGGGACCTCCAGGGCTGCCTTGGGGCCTTTCTGAACCGACACGGGGCCCTGTGGAACCGTTTTGAGTTCTCTTGAAGCGATTTGGGGTGCCTATGGCCATATCTGGGGTAGTCTCGGGCGTTCTGGCGTCCGACAGTTCGAGGCAGTTGAAGTCCTCCGAATCCACACGAGAATATGTGTGATTTTTTCCTCGTGTCGTGCTGTTGGAAGTCCTCTCTCGTGCCCTCGTGGGCCGCTTTGGGAGCTTCTTGGGCCACGTAAAAGCAATATTCGTCCGTCTTGGGGCCCGTTTGGGCCGTTCCCTGGCCCAACTAGACCGTGGCGACGCCTTGAAATTCCGAACGAGCCCACAAAACCAGCATCCCCACGGAACCAACAGAAGCAACCGTCGTGAAACCTGGCATAGCCTGGCAGCATTACGGGTGGAACACTACGCCAATTTAGGGTTCTGGCCTCCTGGCTGCACATTATCGGCCCACGAGCCCGGAAAAGGGTATAGAACTACGAAGCATGGAAACAATTCAAGACAACTGACATAGGCGAGATGGGCAGTAGCAACGAACAACATATCGATGGTAATGACACCATCCCGGGGGCTGTGCTGCGCTCAATTGTACCGTGCTGTGGTTGCGACGGTGCAAGAATTGAGGGTTGCACGTAGACGGTGCAGCACGGAAGGTTGCACGTAGTCTATGCAAAATCCAACCAGCCCTTGAATGCGCAGGTGGTCAAGCGTTGTTTTCTTTCCTCTTTCAAAGCCCTTCTTCCCTTCGGAAGGGGTGCCCTCCCCCTCCCTCCCTGTATTTTTTGGGGGGCGCGATGGGTCAGAGATTTCTTCTTGGCCCAAGATGGTCCCAAGAGGGCCTCCGACGCCCTAAGATGACCTCCGAGATGGCTCCAAGAGGCCCCAAGAGGGCCACAATGCTCTCGGAGCCCTCCAGGGACCCCCAAAAGCAAAAATCCCTCAAACACCTATAAGCAAATCAAAGATTTGTCTTCTCGGCATTCAGATAATCCAGGATGGCCCAGGAGAGCCTCAAGAGGGGCCCATGAGGCCCCCAAAACTGGCACCAAAACGCCCCAGAGCGGCCCAAGAGTGCCGCAAGAGTACCCCAAGAGGCGATTTTGAGGGCCCTACGGGGGGATTGAAATTGAGGACCCACACCCTCCTATGATCGATGGCCTCCACGATGGCCCAGAGAGGCCCTCCAGGCTTCCGAAGAGGCCCCCAAGAGAACATAAGAGAACCCCACTAGGGCCCCAAACGGGCCCCAAGACCCCCCAAAAGGGCCCCAAAGGGACCCCAAAACCTCCCAAATGAGCCCCAAGGGAGCTCCAAAAAGCGAGTTTGAGGGCTCCTGAAGGAGAGCAAAATCGAGGACCCCCCCTCCCGTTAACCGATGGCTTCCAAGATGGCCCCAAGAGGCCCTCCAAGACCCCCGAGAGGTCCCCAAAAGGACCTCATGACTGTCCAAACGACCACCCAAACGACCTTAAGACCGTCCAAGAAGGCCCCAAGCGGGTCTCAACAAGATCCCGAGGGAACACCAGCACCAGCAGCGCCAGCAGCACCACCACCAGCAGCACCACCACCAACACCAACACCAGCAGCAGCACCATCATAACCACCACCCGCAGCATCAACAGCATCGGCACCATCAGCAGCAGCACCACCACCAGCACCACCAGCATCAGCAGCAGCAGCAGCAGCAGCAGAACCACCAATAGCAGCACCACCACCAGCACCACCAACAGCAGCACCAGCAGCAGCAACACTAGCAGCGGCACCAGCAGTAGCGTAACCAGCAGCACCAACACCAGCACCGGCAGTTTTATCAGCAACAGCACCAGCAACAACAGCACCGGCAGCAGTACCAGCATAGCAGATCCAGCAGCAGCAGCAGCAGCAGCAACAACAGCACCATCATAACCACCACCCGCAACACAAGCAGCAGCGAGAGCACCCGCAGCAGCACCAGCAACAACACCATAATCATCAGCAGCAGCAGCAGCAGCAGCGCCAGCAGCAACACCAGCAGCAACAACAGCAGCAGCACCAGCAGCACCATCATAACCACCACCCGCAGCATCAACAGCATCGGCTTCATCAGCAACACCACCACCACCAGCACCACCAGCATCAGCAGCAGCAGCATCAGCAGCACCAGCACCACCAACAGCAGCACCAGCAGCAGCAACACTAGCAGCGGCACCAGCAGTAGCGTAACCAGCAGCACCAGCACCGCCACCGGCAGTTTTATCAGCAACAGCACCAGCAACAGCAGCACCGGCAGCAGTACCAGCATAGCAGAACCAGCAACAACAGCAACAGCACCATCATAACCACCACCCGCAACACAATCAGCAGCGAGAGCACCCGCAGCAGCACCAGCTACAACACCATAATCATCAGCAGCAGCAGCAGCAGCAGCAGCAGCAGCGCCAGCAGCAACACCAGCAGCAACAAAAGCAGCAGCACCAGCAGCAACACCAGCAGCACCACCAGAATCAGCAGCAACACCAACTGCAATATCAGCAGCAGCAGCAGCACCACCACCACCACCACCACCAGCAGCACCGCCAGCAGCAACAGCACCAGCACCACCACAAGCAGCACCAGCAACAGCACCAGCAGCAGCGCCAGCAGCAGCACCAGCAGCAGCAGCACCAGCAGCAGCATCAGCAGCAACAGCAGCAGCAGCAACAGCAGCACCAGCAGCAACACGAGCAGCACACCCATCAGCAACACCATCAGCAGCAGTAGCAGCAGCACCAGCGGCACCGCCAAAAGCAGCGCCAGCAGCAACAGCAGCACCAGCAACAGCTTCACCAACAGCGCCAACAGCTGCAGCACTAGCAACGGCGGCGACAGCAACACCAGTAGCAGCAGCACCGATAGCATCAGCGGCAGCAACAGCACGAGCAACACCAGCGCCAGCAGCCCCAACGCCATCAGTACCAGCCGCAGCGCCACCAGCGGCGGCACCAGTAGCAGTACCAGCAGCAGCACCAGAGCATCAGCACCAGCAGCAGCACAAGTACCTGCGACCACCTCTCCCAGTGATCTCTCATTCAGCCCTGTTGCCCACGCTGTTTCACTATGAGCGGCACACATTCCATTCTCCTGTCAGCTCTTATAGGCATCGTTTCTGGATGGGCTGCGGGGGTGTTTTTTGGCGCGCGGGCGCGCGAAGACGGGTCGAACGCCGTGCAAGCTAAGGCGGGCCGCGCCGAAGCAACGGAAAAAACAGCGAAACGAGCGGCGCCCGGCTCACAGCGGAACCGGTCTCAACGCGGCCGAATTGGCGCGGGAGGCAGCACACGTCAGCATCAGAGTCACGTCGATCAAAACTGCGGTGCCAGGTGAGGCATAGCGCTCCCACCGAGGTGCAAATCAGCGACGCAAGTACGGGATGGGAGATCGACCGCGCACACTGGCAAGTCAGCAAATCGGGCTCCCCAAGACGCACTTGCCGAAGAAGGTGTCCTTGAAGGATCCGGCAATCACGGACTCCCAGCAACCATGCGGCAGCCAAAACATAAAGAAGAATGGCGTTCATGAACATACCATCCAGGTGAACGTGTCGAACTCGGAATCATTGAACCTTCACGGCCATCACAAAGATAAAGGAACGAGCAGGCAACCCCGAAGGAGCAGCGTGAACGACACCGAAAGACAGGCGTGGTCAACGCGAGGAACACGCGCCAAGCGAACGCCAAGGAGACAAACGGCCTCCAGGTCCCCAGGTAGTAGAACGCGTAGTCGGGCAGCGACAACGCGGTGAAGAGCTGCTGCGCGATGAGGAAACCGCAGCCAGCCGGGCGCTGGCGGGGATACTTTTGGCAAGCAAACGCACGATGCGAGTCGGACGCTGGCGGGGATGCTTTTCTGGTCGGCGGCCGCGCGACTGCGGCCTGGCGGAAAGAAGCACCTGGCGGGCATACTTTTTTATACAGCCGCAGGCGGAAACGCCGGCGGCGGCAGG